CCTATTCCTATCGCATCACCAGCTTGTTGCTGTTGCATTGTTGGCTACTTTGACCAGCTGCACTTACTTCAGCTCCACCCAGAAGCTCACTCATTACCTTGGTCACCTCCATGATGGGTTTGCCCCACCTGTTGAATCCTCATTGCTCTGGAATGGAAGGATAGATTTGTTGGCCACATTTGAAGGTGACTTTGAACTGGGGCCACCTAGTAACGCTGTTGTTACACAATCTGCCTTCAAATGCAGGCCCCTGAATTGAGATACAGCTACTAGCATGGCTACTTTCTTGCGTTACAGAATATTTAGCTTTTTGGTTCAACTGGTAAAATACTAGAGGTACCAAACTATTTGACATCCCGAAAAAATCAGAGATATGTAGAAAAGTGGGGCATCTGGACTTTGATTTAATATCCAGATCCTTTTTCCTGTTAAATTTGTTGTCTTGGTCTAAAATGGACATCTGGAACTGTCCACAGATAAGGACACTCAACACTAACCAGTGACTAATATCTCTGTCTTGACATTAGATGCAGCCAGAAGCTAAGAACATAAACGTGAGCCTGGAAAATGTCAAAAGACAAAGCTTTGGATCAAGATGTTTGGGAAGTGTGGTTACAGACGATGCAGACAGACCCACCTGTTACATATGAGACTTTACTACGATACAGTGGTTAAACCAGGGACCATACTTTGTATCTTGTCACCTCTCACAGAAGGGAAAATATAATTTTATAGGAAGTAAACAAGATTTTCTACGTAAAAAAAATTGACCATGACAGCGAAGACCCTTCAAGTCCAATCACCTCAAATGCCCCCTGCAGCCGACTTGCTGTCACTGGATGCCCGTTTCACCCTGAGGCCCCCATCCTTCGCTGGGCCATAACTTCTCCTCCTGACAGAATAGCTTTCACTAATAGTAATGTGATCAGTCAGTGCACAGAGGGGACTGAGGCTGCCCCTGTCCCGAGTGAGACATCATATCACACACACACTCGCCATCACTCCTCTTTCACTGAGTCAACAAGACGCAACCATGGCTACCAAAACCACGGAGGGGAGTGTGGTGCGAGAAAACATTTGTGGGGTTTTTGTGTGTGTGGTGACCTACAAGAGCCAAGTGTGTCATGGCTGACAGCGACGACGATGTCCAACACGAGCTAGCTTAGACATACGCTCAATATTGATCTAAAGACATTAAGAAGACATGATCTAAATCACGTTCAAATCTCCTGTCAGGATTTGTTTCCATCCAGCATCATGTTCCATGTCTCCTCTCTATTAAGAAGTTGGATCTGACAATGAAGACTGTATCCACTCCGGCTTATGTGGAGATGAAACACATGTCCTGTCATCTCTGCCAGGAAGACACTGTGCAGGGAAGACGCTGTGATTAAGATTTTAACTTGGAAATCATTTGTTGCCAGGGTAATGCACTCACCCGCCCAGGGGAAGAGTGATTACAGTATAATGCATGGATGTAGTTTCTTGAACTTTCCTCTTGAGTGACGGCTCAGCAGTTTCTGCATGAGAGGATGTGACAGTGACAGGAGTCAGATTTGACAGATGCTTCGTCGTATCATGTGAATTGGACTGCTCTCAATGTGCTTACGACATTCGTTTTGCTCCACTGATAAGTAAATGGCTGTAAACTTAAAAATAATCATAAATGCAGGAGTTGGCGAAAAGAAAACAGCGAGTGTCGTCTTTACTTGACTTGAAAGTCTAATTTGATGTGGAAAAATGGCCAGGGCAGAATTTCGAATGGCATTTGAATAAAATGCAGACACTTTTTGCCCCGTAAAGATGTTTTAATGAGCTGCTGCATGAAAAATTAATTTTTTAATTATTTTAGGCCCTACGTCTTCATCTCTGATGTCAGAGTTTAACTCAACACTAGATACAGGGTGTTATAGTTTCTCAGTGGAGAGTAAACAGTAAAAACGATGTGGTGTAAATGACAAGCCGAAAAGTGTGTGTTTAAAATTTAAAGTAAAATCTCACAAACTGTTTTTTTATTTTCCCAGCAGCTTAATTCGTTTGGTTTTGTGTCCTCTTTGTTAAACTGAGTATTAATTCTCTCCTGTTCGTCCCTCTCTGTGCCGCTCCCAGCATGAGACAACACTTTATGATGTGCACTCACTGGTTGGGAAAACAACAGCCTTGTGGCTCGGCTGCGAGGAGCCGGCGTGGAGACGGCGATGAGGTTGCCAGGCGACGGTGGCCGTGGCAATTCCCTGTGCAGGTGGGTGGGGTGGGGAGCTGGTGATAGAGGCCACACCTGCTGCCAGCCACACACACACACACACACACAGATTCTTAACTCACACAGAAACAACCTTTACATCAACCCTCCCTGTCGCTTCCTGTTACACGGACACTTGCACTCTTTGATTTTACCTCTGCTGCTGCTCTTTTCTGGACACATGACCCAAAGTAAACTGCACCTTAGTGGTCAACAGGTTCAAACCAAAGCGCAGTGAACTGGACAAGTGAGAAACACATAACCTTTGTGTGACGGCCCTGAATCTAAAATTTGCAACAAAAAGCATGTTGTCTTTGTGAAAGGTCCAGTATTCACTCTCCTTTAAACTCTGCTAATCTCAATTTACTCTAATGTTTTATCTTTGGTTGCCCAAAAGCTTCTCTGTGCTCAAAGTTGAGATGGTAACTTTGTAAAGGTTACACACAGAGGTTTAAAGTTTAGCTGTTAAATCGAAAACATAATGAGCTGAAAGACAGCGACGCGTGACTGCAGAGTTGAGGGATAGTTATCGATATAATCCCTTATTAAACACAGCCGGTTGTTCTATTGTTGCCATGAATAATATTGATTGCAGCGGCTGTGAGGATGAAAGCTATAGTTACTGTGATCTGATAATTTACGCAAATTAGACATATTTAGTCAAACTGCATTTGCCGTTCTTGTGGCTTTTGCTAAACAAAACTAATCCCTGTGAAAAATCCCACATAATCCTGTTTAAGAGAGTGTTGCATTTGCTCGCCTGGTTCAAAAACAGAAGCAGCGTGAGGGATTGGAGATGGATTATTTGTCTTTTTTTAAATTTCTCTTGCAGAAAACATCTTGAGAATTAATCATTTTCAAACAGGCTGACTTTTAACCAATGTCTTCCTCTCTTACGTCCATAAACTTGCATATCATCTCTCCATTTTCTGTCTGGCTGTTACTCTAACCTGCTCCGCCTCCTCACCGTCGCTCTGTAAATACCCCCCCCCCCCAGCTTTTGTATGACTTATGGTGAAACCAGAGTTAGGAGAACCTACATGGACGTCTATTTGCACAGTGAATCTATTGAGATGGTTGCAGGTGAGCAGCACTTTGCCTTGTTTGTCTGCTGTGACGCTCTACGGCAAACACCAGGCACACGCACCTATTGTATGAACACACATACACCAACACGCAGATAGAAATGAAAGAAAATAATAACTTTGGGGGTGAGGTGCTCTGAGGAAATGAGTCAGAGATTAGTTTTGTATCTGACAAGGGGCTTTTGGGAGAAACTCATTTGAAAGTACAGTATATTCTTTTGGTATTTACCTTGCTGATTGTCCCAGCAGAGCAAATGTCACATCATATTAAGTCTGCCACGGCCCTCGGAGCAAGAGAATTTGTTATCACATTTATGCATAAGCACATGCTCTGCACTGTGGCAAATTAAATGAGGGCTTATAATGATATACATAATAAAACAGATCTGGTGATTCACTGAAGCTGACATGGACAGCGGCAATCGCTCGGAGGACCAGGAAACGCTCACAGCTTCAAACCTGTCCTGATGTGCACTCGCAAGTCCCATCTGGTCTGTGATGTATTCTTGTGATCGAGGATGAAGAGGAGGGAGAGGATGGCCAACTGAAGTCAGGTTTGCAAGATGAACGCTTAATCAAAATTATGAGATTGCAAAATGTGAATTATTAAATGGTGGAAATCATGAAATAGTAAGTCATTATTTTGAGTTACTACGTTCTAATTGTGAGATACTCACTCATGTAGGCCCAAGATTACCACGATGCATATACACAAGATTTTATAGCGAGTCCTTAAGGGTCAATGGGCAGGTCACCAGCGACAGAAATGGCAGACATGTTTATCTCATTGAGTGTTGCCATCTTTTTTTATGTTTAACGCACTCGGTCAATGATTATACAGCGGAGCGCTCTGCCATCTTTAGTCTGAGTTCTGTGGAGTGCCCTCTACAGGAATCCTTCAGTAAGTACCTAAGCAAGTACGTGAACAATAACGTTGCAGCCAATTGCCTGTGTGGTCAAACAATAAGTATAACATCGTTATTTTGGGATAGTAGCTCATTACTTTCACATAGAAGCATAAGTTATTATTTTGAGACATTATGTAATTATTTTGAGAAGGTGTACTCACTATTTTAGACACTCAATTATTTTGAGATGCTAATTAAAATCATTATTTGAGAAACTAAGTCATTATTTTGCGAAACATCAAGTGATTATTCGAGATATTAAGTAATTAATCTGAAATATTGAGTCATAATTTTGAGATACTACGTTTCTCATTATGACTTACAGAGGCAGTTAATGCTTTGGCTGTATTGTGATCATCAGATTAATAAAGAGAGACCTGCCCGTTAATCAGACTCACACCTCCTCACAGACAGAAAGGTGTTTGTGCCAAGTGTCCGGTGCTTGATAAGACTCCAGCGGCGTGAGAGCCGTGCGTAAATGCGTGAAGGCTGCTGCGCGTTGTTTGGAGAGGGCACCCGGAAACACGTTTGTGCGTCAGGAACACAAACACTGAAAAACAACAGTGATCCAAAAAGTGTCCAAATTGTGTAATCAAATGTTATTTCCGTGGATATGCTTTTAAGTTGAAGATTAAAATTCGACATTAATGTTTTGTTTTTTTCACTTTTAACGAGATTCTTACAGAACGATTTGTCTTAATCTGTCTTTTGGAATGACAAGTGATCAAACACGCACGTCTACGGAGACAGCTCACGCACTTTAACGCTCTTTATACCACGTGTTCGCTGCAAGAAGCTCGGTGTTGAATTTGAAAGTGGCGACATTTTTTGCAGTGTGGCACCGCTCCGCCGGCCTGGAGCTGAGGATCTGAATGCGCCCACCCCCTTTTTTTGACTCACGCCATAGATCCGCTCCAAAAGCCCATCGCACTTTGAGAGACTCACCCAACACACACACACACACACACAAGCTGCTGAAACCAAAAAAAAGCCCAGTCCTCAACTCCACCGGTGGGGGTGGGGTGAAGGAGACACGGCGAACGCACCAGATGAGATTTGTTTCCAAACGCGCACCGATGGCGGTGTGAGGCGTTTGGCTGAGAAGTACGCACGGCGCGGTGGAACAGTGGAGCTTTAATTTTTGTTTTTCTCTCTCGCTGTGTGGATTGTGTTTGAAAGGGGGACACACAAGGAAAAGCTATGGATTACCCAGTCTGTCTACTTTTACTCTTGGCCACCGTGTCGTCGGTGTCCACAGGACAATTCCCCACAGCGCACATGTGAGTATCCAGCCTGTTGGCTTTGGAAAGTCCGGGGTTTGCAGGGTGTGTTGCAGAAATCACATCATGGTCTGTTATCAGAGTACACAATTCACTTTCAATTAGTCTGTATTTCTGTTTTAATCGTTTCCAACTCTGGTTCACATTCGGCTCTAACTTGCATTTGGTGGAACAGAAGCATTTTATTGTTCCTTACATGAAGTGATGATGTTTGCATTTTGCTTTTTGGACACAACTTCATGTGGATATTTAAAGCTGCTGCTGTTGCTGTCTGTCTGTCTGCTGACATGTGGCTCTGCTGTCACATGAATCTTCCCCCTGGAAGGTGGACTGAGGTCTGACTGTGGTGCCACAACTTTTCCCAGCACACACACACACACACACAGAAAACCATAGTTTGTTTGGAGTTCAACATATTTCAGAGGATTTGTGTTCCTGAGTCTGATTGACTTGCTGCAGATCCCTGTCTTCGTCCTCTCCTTCCTTCTATACTTATGTCTGTTTTTCCTTCCTTATTTACTTTACTTTCTGCCCCCCCACCTGTCTTTCCTTGTTCCTTCATGTGCTCCTCTTTCCCTCCTTCCTACCTTCCTTCCTCCCATCCTTATGTGTGACTGTGTCTCTTCGTTCCGTCTCTAACTCTAAGTCTCCTTTTATGGAAAACTATGGTTTTGCCAGTGTGCTCACATGTCCCAAACTATGTAATACTCCACTTCCATATTTACTATTTCCAAAATGCAGGCCAGTAGTTCAGGTTTTTCCTCTTGTTATTCATCCCAGTAGATTTTACGATGTGAACTGGAAAGCCTCTCCTGATGCTGCAGGAGGCTGGTGGAGATATCAATAGCTCAGTTGAGGTATGGCTGCTTCAGTCTATTTAAATTTGCAGCGCAGCATTAATAAATATACAGGATTACAGTTCCCAAATTAAACAGGGTGGTGAGTCTACAGCTTCCAATCTGCTCCTCACACTTCATCAACAGGTCTTCAGCTGATGGTTCTGCAGGACGACAGCGTTTGGTTTTTGACTCCAGCCCAAGTCCAGTCCCCCGGAGACGTTGTGAGCCATGATGGCACTCAGCCTAATGGCCGAGCACAATGATGTCAGACTAGCAGAGCGGCCTGCCCACTCCCGATATTTCATGGGCACTAAGTGGATTGATCTGTGGGTTGTGTACATGATATTCACACAGGCCCGGGGCGAGCGGCAGGCCCTCCTCCCCTGACAGCGCAATCGACAGGCGGACAGGAAAAACAGCAGTAAATCTCACAGTTACATCGACCAAGAGGGAGTTCTTCCTTTTGGAATTAGGAAAACTAGAAAAAGTCTCTTTCTGTGATTCAAGGTTCAAGTGCAAAAGCAGCCAAACATTGTCGTCTTTAACCACAGCCGCTCTTAGTCTGTGTGTGCTTCTACATGTGGTGATGGTGATTCTGAGTGACACCTAAAGGTGCCAGTCAGAGGGAGACAGAGAAAGAGAGAGAGGAAAGGATGGAGAGAAGGATAAGCAAGGTCCTAGGTAGCTCAGTGACTAAACACATAAACCTTTAGAGCAAGTGTTCTTTCTTTCTGTCTGTCTCTCTCCCCCTTTCTTCCTTCAGTCTCCTTCCTTCCTTATCTATGTCTGTTCTCTTCTTTCCCTTCTGTCTTTCTTTAATTTTTTTCCTTCCTCCCTTCCTGATGTCCTTCCTTCCTTCCCTCTCTCTCACCTCCCTGTGTCTTGAAGTGCTCAATTTCTTTCCTTAGGTCTCTGGACTCCATCAGCATCTGTTTACTTCAGATCTTCACATCCCCTCTCTTTCTCTCCATCCCCTAATCTACCCTTAATCCGTCTTCCTCTTCTGTCTTCTTCACCCCCTGTCCATCTCCTTCCCGTCCGGCTTCCGATATACATCTCTTGATCTCTCTGTCTCTCCACTCTTCTTTTTCGCCCGTTGCCTGAAGGCAGATGATTATCATCATCGAATCTGAAATGCAAAGTCTGATGTCATAGACTGTGCCCCAGAGATCCCGGCGCCAGCGAACACACTGCAGGATCAGAAGAGATAAAAAAGAAAAGATGGAGATGGAGAGAAAAAACAAGAGGGACAACAAGAAAGTCCAGACTTTGCCTTTTACATCCCTTGTTGAATTTCAACTGTCCAACCCAAGACGTTATCATATGTTCCTCTGCGTTTATCGCCTCAGTCGCCAACAGACATATTTTGTGACATATTTTATCTCCGTCCTCCCTTTTTCCACAGTTTCTGTCACCCTCTGCTCCGTCTCTCCCTCTCTCACTTGCTGCTTTTTTTTAAAAGGATAAATAGATTTCATGCTCGACCAGCTAAAGAGCCAGGCTTCTTGCGTTCGCGCCAATCAGTGGACATAATGTGAGGAGGCACTTTATTCAAATACAGAGCAACATGGGCAGCTGTGTGCAAGCCAGGGGAGTGTAAAGATTTACACTGGGAAATTGGGTCCAGGCATTTTCCTAAGTTTGCTTTTGACATAGGAAGAGTGCGACAGATTATAAGCATCAGGTGTGTTCACAACAACAGGAACATTTTGCTGCTAGCTGCTTGCAGCTGTGTCCAAATTCATACAGTGCATACCAGACTTAGCATATCAGATTCAAGAGTGGTATCAATCTTCTCATCTAAATCGCTGGAACAATTTTCCTAAAATGCAAATTTTCCTGTCATTTCATTCTTAAAACAAGCAAGAAAGTCTGTTGTAAAGGTCAGGATTTCATCTTTTCAGTCCATCTGTGAATTTTCTTGACTTGAGGTTAATTCTGTTGCTAGTAATTCAGTTTGCTGCCATAATGCTCATAGATAATGTTGGCTTTCTAGGCTAACAAAATCTTTTTTCACTCTCTCACAGTTCCTTTCCCTCACCTTTCGCTCTTTCCCCCCCTCTTCTCTCCCACCCAATCCCCTTTGCCTCCCATATCAGCTTTGGCTATATTTAGGAAAGCCTTTGGGGAAGGGGCGTTGAGTGTCCTGACTCAGATGTAGGTAAAGATACAGGCTGGAAGGGGGCAAGGTTACAGGGGGCTTTCCATAAATCTCCACCTCGGCTTCTCCACTGATATTTTGTGGAGCCCCTTGCTTATTCGAGGCCTCTGGGAGTTGCTTCAGTGTCTGGTTTAACTTTCTGATCAGAGTTTTTCCCCACTGTCTTGTACTTCCTCCCCACAATCACACTTTGCCACATGGAAATTCCCAAGAATTTTCCATTCCGGTGTTTCCTGGGCAACCTTGGGAATAGCTACCAGCTGTGTGGATGAGAGCCCTGTTAGGTACAGTACGCACATCTGTGTACCCTAATATAAAACATGGGGAGTGTACTTTTAAGGCTGCATTGTAAATCGCGCATGTGCCACTCGTTTCGTATATCAAGGTTTATTTATTCATAAGTGTTTATCACATATGATAAACACTTATCAGCATATGCCTGAAAGGACAATACAGGAAAATGGCCTGAAACCAATCAATAGTTATTAATAGATACACAGCATCGTAAAATACAAAGAGGCAAAAAAAGATAACAAGAGTTATAATAGGAGAATAAAGAGGAGCAGGCTGTACAGGTTTAGAGAGTGTTAGAGGAAAGAGCTTGTAGAGACTGACGGTTGAAAATCAAACCCTGTGGCTCATGCCTGTTGTCACACCGTGTTTTTGTGGCTGTCATCTCTTTGTCTTGGAAGTTCATGACCACGCATTTATCTGAAGGTTTAGATAACACCAGCACTTTTCAGGAACACTAGTTTATAGCTTCACTTCAAGACTGGATACATGGGAAACTGCTAATGTGGGTCTTTCAAAAAGGCAGCATGAATTGTCTTGACATAGTGACACCTTCAGTTGAGATAGTTCCAAAGTTCTAGCCTCATATTTAGTGTTGGATATTAGAGTGGTATTGATCTTTTCCTCCAGCTCTTGGCATTCCCAAAAAAACTAGTAATTGTGGATCTGTGAGTGTCCACTAGTTAAGTTTTATTCAGAAACTTCCTGTAGATATCCAGAAATGTGGGAAGTGGTAAAATGAGCTCTTCTGGTGTGTAATATTTTGAGATGCAGAGAAAAGTGGACCCATCATGGCCTGTGATGGCTCCTCTTGAGGGTAATTGCTGTTAATGTCAGTGCTCGGACCACATTGGACAGTAGCCGTACTCCAACAACGCCAATGGTCACAACTTCATGATCTAATTTCTCTATTTATACACATTGTCGGATATTGTGTGTGGTTGTGTGCATGTGTGTGTGCAGTGAGGCGGAGGGGTTGGGCTGATGTATGGATGGGTAAGTTTGCTCAGAAAGTGTGAAGGTGACAGGGATGTAGAGGTTTAGTCATTTGAGCAGAGTTCAAAATGACATGTAGCAGGGAGAAAAACAGCTAGAGGGGCGAGGATGAGCAAGAGGAGGAAAACACAGTGTATTTGCCAAATAGAATAAAAATGTAGTATTTTTGATTGTTAATATGAGGGACTGAAAAGAAGATGCACATTCAAATTAGGCTGAATCTGCCTGTATAGATCTGCACTAGCTCTATCCAGAGCATCTTCACAAGTGTTAAAGATTATAATTTTGATCCATTGCTCAACAGTTAATTTAACATTCTATTGCAAACATTTCATATTTAAACCCATATAAATTTAATTTGGCCCATTTGCTATTATGTCTGTCACAAAATTGCACGTGCACACATGAAGTATTATATTAATTGATTTGGTGTTGATTTTCTCTGGTCTACTATCATACTGGATTCACACCAGCAGGTGTGATTGCTCTGCAGCGAGTGCAAACACTTGCAGGTGTCACAACAATTCGGTTTCCCCTGACTTAATGTGTCCAGACACCTTCAGGGAGAGGTGATACAATGGGAGCTGTTAGTTCTGTCAGGACGTGTATGCCGTATGACATGGAGGGTGCAGACGAGACGGACAAGGTGCCAGGGGGACGGCGAGTCAGTCGTGGTCCAGGGTGTGAGGTCAAACATGGGCAAGGGTAGGAAG